ATACAAGAATTTTCATAGCAAAATATATGACTCTATGCTTCTGCTAGGTTAAAAAATCTCTGGCCTCTTTTCCCTGAAACTTTCTTGAAAAACACATGGGGCGGGAGTTTAAAGGTGAGACACTGGAATAAACACAGAGGATCTTTGGAGTGGTGAAACGTAATGGGGATGTCTGGAATGGGAGGCCCCTGCAGCCCACCAAAAACCTACTTTAATTTCAAACAGCTGCAGAGAGGGCGTGTTTACCAGCTGTATAGCACCTTGCACCTTCTGGGCACTTATATTAAACGATATTGATGAGTGGTAAATGCCTCTGTAGGAAGGTTTATAAAAACGATTATAATTTGTTATGAAATTCTCCAAGAGTTCTTTAAATAAACCTATTGAAACTACCATCTCTCTTTAAAAAAAGAAATCGTTCAGCTAGCAATGTTATAATGATTTGATGTTCTTAAGCTCAGATTGGGGCAACAGCCACAGTTACAACAAATGGTGACGTGATGAGATAGTCCCTTCTCCACACATCTGGAAAACTTTACATAATCTGCCCAGGGCTTTCAACATCATCTTCATTTTTTTTTTTTTTTTTTCTTTTTTGCTAATACACAAAATGGTTTTGCTTTAAAAACAAACAACAAAAAAAGGTGCTGTTTTGAGGATTTATCAGCCGCATCCCCTGACATGGAATGTATGTGGATACCCGTCCCGTGGCATCTGTTAACTCAACCGCATCATCTAAGAAACAACAGGACTTGGCTTGGCTTCTTTGGCATCATCTCACTCTATGGTCTTGTATTGCAGCTCATCGGCTCCCCTTACGTCAGTTTTGGTCCGTTGTAATCCCTGCTTTCAGCACTGCTGAGAGCAGGGACAGCTGGACTTCAGTGCACACTTCAGCACTTGGATTTGTCTCGGCACAGCACTTTGGGCCTTGGAGAATCTCAGCTTCAATGAGGTAAAACCAATAACCTGGTTTCGTGGGCAGCCATCCTGTTCAACTCATTAGGCTGGACTAGAATTTCCAATCCTTATCAACCAGGGAGGGGAATGAAAACTGTGTTAGAGTTGTCCCAGGGAGTCAAATGCCTCTTGTCCCTTCTCCAAGTATATTCACGCCGTATTCACACAGCTGGAATCATTTGAAATATAATGCACTTTCCTACACTATATCCATCCCAATGTCTGAGACTAGCCTGCATTTTTTTCAGATCATCACTGATAAAATCTAAGGGGGAAAAAATATCCCAATTTCAAGTTGCCAACAAAACCAAAGGTCAGGTTACTTCGCAGTAGTCCTAACTCGAATGCGGGAAGCTGAGTGTAATACTTCTATGTCCTACTATTTAGTGAATCCAAAGGTCTTCCATAATTTGTTTTTCTGCAATGCTAGAAACTTTAAAATATAATTTTAGCTAGTGTTACTCCCAGAAATGTTAGCATGCATTAGTATTAATATTTCTGGAAGTTTAAACCTTGACTGAGATTTTTCCATGTTCAACTCAAACTTAGAATCCGAGTTAGGAAGCAGACCTGTCTCTGCTTATTCTTACAATGGATACTCAAAGACTCACGATCCTCCTCGTACACACGCTTTACTTCCACTCTCTCAATATTAGTGGTGCCTAGGACCCTTGCCCCTAAACTTCACTCAGCTCCTTCATCTTCTGAGGGTGAAACTTGACACCCATTGCCACCCCCCATGGCTTCCTTAAGAGGTTGGTGCAGCTCATTCACAACTCTTTTATCCTTGGTTCCACAGGTTTTAATAGTTTTTCCCATTTTGCCACCATCCTTCCAGAATTTGCTAATGGGTATTACATTCGTGTAGGCCACAAGGGGGCTCTCCTCAGGCTAGCATGGGCGGCTTTTCTTAGTCCTGGTCCTCTTTGTGGTGGACCATCCATTGAGTCTTTCTTCCAAGACTCGGCTTTTCACTTGAACAAGGCACTCGGCTATACATTCAGTCCTGATCTTGGCTACTCAAGCCATCGTCTAGTCTCTGCAGCACCCAAGTGTGTCAGAGAGATTGTTCTTTGCTCTGTGTGGCGTAAAGAAAAAGTTTCCAGAGTGACTTAATTGTTCAAATTCTCAATATAAATGGAAGACTCTATAGAATAAACTTTAATAGAAAAGAAAAAAAGAAGTCCAATCAATACTAAAGACATCAACTTGATGTTACTTGAGAAAACTTAAAGTGCTATACCAGTCACAATAGAAAACTCATATATATATATGTGTGTGTGTGTGTGTCTGAGGGTAGGATTTCTTTCCAGTTGGTGAATGAATTCAAAGTCCCTACTACAATTCAAACAGAAATGGGAAATACCTGTGACAATGTTAAATTAACTGAATTTCATTATTTTGGAAAAAAACATTCTGAGGGTCATCTTATGTAGTACTTCTTGCCTAGAAATGCTCTTCTTTTCTGTATTCTGCTCTTACCTTTATACCTTCTTCCCTCCCCACCTCACTAGCCTCAGGCACCCCCCACAGGAAAAGGATCTCGCTACCTGTCTCTGGGAAGCTGGAGGCCCTTCTGTGACTAGCTGGCATCCATCTTTCCCCGTAACCAATTTAAGTATAAAAACAGTAATAATAATCACACCTGGTATGAGAGGCGCTCGGTTTACCCGTGCTATAAAACGATGCTAGCGGAGGGTGGCCATGCTGATTATACAACAGAGTTAAAAAAGACTAGGAGAAAAAAAAAAAAAAAAAAAGATAAATCTACCTAGAAAACAAAGAGGGAGCATTCTGCATTAAGTATTAACTTCATTAGACAGTCAACATTGAAACTGACATGGGCAAGGCACCACAAGAATGACATTGGTAAGCTATGTCTCACTATGCAAACCATCGGGGGGGCAGAGGGAATGTGCTGGCCGCTGTGGTCAGTGGTCTGTGTGCTGCCAGTTCAGTGTATAATTAGGCAAGGAGTTATGTGCACATGGGCTTTGCGAAGGTGAACCAAACACCAGCCTGCCAGCAAGGCACAGCCATGCCACAGGACAGAAAGAGTGGGCAGGCTGCCGGCAGTAGCACGCCCACTCCATGGCTATTCCTGGGCCAGGGACTTGCACTTGGCCGAGAGCAGGCAAGCCTCTCTGTGGGCCAGGCAGCTCTCTTCCCTGGAGTCCTGTACTGTATGGCCAGGAGGAAGCACAGCCTCACTGTGGTGTCTCCCACACCCCTTTCAAACAGGTTTCTCTTTAAAAATAAAAAGCACAATCAAATACATTCTTCTCCTTTCCTGATTCTCTTCAACACAGGTGAATCACATGAAAGGCTGTTAAAACGCTAAAGGTTTGGAAATTTCCAAGGCCACTAATGTGCTATGAAGGTAATAATGCACACTCAGTCTTGGCTTTAAGAAACTGCGCTGGTGGACGAGGGAACCTCCTCACTGATGAGGTGCAGAGTATATGTCTCTCAACCCGGCCACAGGCTGCTCCCCCCACTCGAGGCCTCGCCTCTGCTTCCAGCACGCGTGCGTGCACACACACAGGCACACACGTGCACACACTTTCATGCTGTTGGAGGGACTCTTGGGATTTCAAGGTTGAAGTAAACAGATACTCACAGTTTGGCCTAAAACAAGCACGTATACACACACACACACACACACACACACACACACACGCACCTGTGGAAGGAACGCTCGTCTCTCAGCGCAAATATGTGCCAGGGGATAGAAGGGGGGAGAGGGTTTCTGTAGGTCTCGCTTCAGGTGAAGTTGCAACATAAACACTGTAATATACAGCGAAAACTACATACAAAATTGCACATATATCTATAGGGGAGGGCCAGAGGCTCCGGCCACTCACCTTAGCAATCAGAATTCCCTGTGAGCTGGACTCCAGCGCCATTGTAGAGGGGGCAGGGGAGCAATGGACCACTTATGCTGGAAAAGGTCAGAATTCTGAAGAGAAGGTCAGCAGTTTCATCGAGTGGCCTTTCCCCCTCCCTGGCCTTCAAGCCACTTCAATAGCCAGCCAGCCACCTGTGCCCTCTTGGGGGATCCAAGAGCTCCGATGACAGCCATTTGGTAGACTAGTTAACACTGGCTACCGACAAAAGGAAACTAGCCAATTATTGCTCAGGGTTGGGGTACCTACCGCCTGCCCTGGCTGCCAATGCTGCAAGCTCTGACAGTAATCAGAGAGAGGTACTTTCATCTTTGTCCCCATGGTGGTCCCTGGGGAATTGCGGGAAAATCATTACCTGACTCCTATTTACAAGCTCCTGACTGCACTCCACCCGCAGAGGCATTGGCGGCAGCATGGTGGGTGAGCTCCGTAAGGGGCTGACTTGACTGGCCGCTGGGGCCAGAGCAGAGGTGGAAGAAAATTGGGCTGCGGTAGCTGAGGGGAGACTGGGAGGGCCAGTTTCCAGGCAGTGCACGTTCCTTGACAACAGAAAAAAGGGGCTAGGCCCCAAGGGGGGAGGGTGGGGGCTCTCCCTTATGCCTCCTGCTCTCTCTCAGCTGGAACCAAGAGCAGAGCCCCCCAGTAAGCAAAGCTGGGCTGATGCTGAGGATGGCACGTTTGCCTGGGCAGAGTGGTCTGTTGGGAGACCTAGTGGATGATGGCAGCGACTGTCTATTGTCTCTTATAGTGAGAATAAATAGTTGGTGTTAAGGAGATGGACGGCAGTCAGAATTATGGAGTAACTGAACACAGCCCACTGAGTTCACACCAAAGGCGCTGTCTCTCCGAGGATGTGTGTCCATGTGGTTCTTTACCTGCATCTGTGGGGCTATCAGGGTGGGAGTGGCCCAATGGAAGGCAGCTGCACGTTTGTACAGCTGAATTTCTGCAAAAGTAGGAGACTCAGCCTGCCACTCGATTGGGAGCTGCAGAAGGCCCTTCCGAGCGAATTCTGGTTCCTGGGCAGAAAGCTCGTCTCTTGCTTTCCTTGTGTTCGGTCTGAGGACTAGGAAGGGGCAGCGTGTGAGATACAAGGAGGAGACGATGCCATGAGGGAGCAGCACCCAGGACACACTAACGGTGTTGTAGGATTTTCACAATACACCCGAGAGAGTCAGAGGTGGCAAAAGCCAAATACTGAGCGCAGAGCCAGTCCTCCAGGCTGACGCTCCCCTCCCTGTCCAAGGACTTCTCGGCAAACTTGATCATCAGGAGTGTTTGCTTGATGTCTAGCCAGTTCTGGAGAAGGGCAGTCCTCTGCAGCGGGCCAGGGGAGGCCGACAAGGTCTGGAAGAGGTCTTCCCGGGGGCCCCAGAGCAGACACTGGAGGATGCCTTTGGCGTCTGAAATGAGGATCCGCTCAGAAGGGTTAGGATTCAGGAGGCAGCTGGCTAGCTGCTGCAGGCCTCGGGAGTACGGAGAGCGGAGTGGGATGCGAGGCAGGTCGGCTCGGGTGTACTCCTTCTCCTTCAGCTCTGGGTTCTCATCAAAGGGGTTGGGCAGGTGCAGCATCTCGTAGATGAGGATGCCTGTCTGGAACTCATCACACTTTTTATACTGGGTGGCCGTGATGATCTCTGGGGCCAGGCGGGACTGGTCCCGGAGGATCTCGGGGTCCACCAGATGGCTCTTCTGCTTGGCCTGAGAGAAGTTGCTGACTAGGAGCCTGGTGGGGCCCGATGAGGCGGGGCTGGGCTCTGCAGGCCCGAGGCACTGGGCAGTCCCCCCGGGCTGGTAATGCACAAGCAGCAGGTTCTCTAGGCGCAGGTCACAGTGAGTGACGTGGTAGGGTTTGAGGTGCTCGAGGCCGGAGCACAGCTGTAAGAGCAGCAGGCACACTTGCCTCTCGTAGAGGTCAGGGCTTTTCCCGTGCTGGGTCAGAGAGTCGCGCACAAAATCAGCCACGGTGAGACAGGGCACCTCTCTGGTGATGACCACGACGTGGCTCCTCTGCTTCCTGCTCAGAATGGTCTGGCTCTCTTTCTGGGAGGACTCTGTTTCCAAGCCGGGCTCCGGGCTTTCTCTGTCAGCCTCTCCTTTGACCTCTTCTTCTTCAGTCTCTTCTTCCACTTTACCCTCCTCCTTTTCAGGGACATCAGGATCCTCCCAGGGCAGCAGACGGTTAGGAACTTCAGCAAGGAAATGACCACAGTCCTGCTGGATGTTGAAGTGGATAGCCAGACTCTGCCGGACAGCCAAGCTATGGTAGTACTGCTGTGATTCCTTAGCTTTACTCTTACAAATCTGAAAGAAGAAAGCAAGTAACACAATTTAAAACTCACACGGTCAGAACCAAGCTTATGTTACATACAGAGGGATTCAACAGAACGGTGACTGGCTGGGGACAAGCAGGGTTTCCGCAGTCTTCAGATAGCGTCTTAGTAGGTTGGTGCCGAGTAACTTTTGTCACAATTTCTCCATCTGTCTATCGCCTGGCTGCACTTAGCATCTCTCAGAAGGAAAAGGACGCTTCATCCTCCACCCCCATTACTTTGGAGTGGATTCTGACTCAAGGATTGCTTTTTTTAAAAAGTTTTTATTGAGAATTATGTGATAGTTTACATGGGAGAACATTAGCTTTACATTTATCCTATTGTATATAATTTCATTGCCATGGGTACAATCCGCTGCATGCATCATCAAACAACTAAAGGGTACACCCCATAAGCCTGCCTCACCCCACCCCCACCTCCCTGGTCGTCAGCACACAGCCCCTCTCCCTCCCTGAGTCTAAGAGTCCCCAGCCGCTCCATCTCTCCACGTCATCATCTCTGCCTCCATCTCTGGCATCACTGCTTCTCTGGGTTGGGTCCCGCTCTCTGCTCTTCTCCCTTGACGGTCCCAGGGACCTCTGCCCCTGGACTGCAAAGTCAATCACTCCCCTCCTTTTGCTACAAAATGTCTACCTTTACACTTCCAACCCTCAAAGCCGGTCCTGATAGCAATTATTCACTATTGGACCACAAGCTGACTCAAGGATTTGAATAGAGCCACCTGGATTGCAAGGTCGGTTTGAACCACGAGGTTGGTGGTTCAAGCTCACTAGCTGTTCCTCAGACACCCTATACAGGGTGACTATAAGTTGGAATCAACTCCATGGCACTTAACAACAACAACACCCAATTTACAAGCCTGTTTGTCTAATGCCAACACTTGCTGTTTCCACTCTACCGTGCACCTAGAAATCATCTAGAAAACAGAACAACAAAATGAGTGTTCACCTACTTTCAGGGGAGGTTCACAGCCCAGATTTATTCAGCAGCCCAAGAAATGACTCATGAAGTAAGCTCCAAATATTGTATTTTATCAGTGATAAAATCTTTCTATCAGCGAGTATTATCACAGGTAAGCTGTGAGGTTTCCAATGAAATGTCATTTGATGGTTACAACGCAGACAGTAGTGGTTCGTGACAGGATAAGGTGCTGAAAGAATCACTGGTCTGACTTATTCAAAGTAAATCTAACATTCCAATGGTAAAGTTCTGAGGCCGATGCTTTCTCTTAACAGGCTTCAAAATTTAAGTCTCAACGTTCAGGTAATAAGATTTTCCAGAAAGAATTTGAGTAAGTGGCTATGAATCAAGGAAGTTGGTTTTTTTTTTTTTTTTAAATCAAAACATCAGCCAAGAGTTATACATACTGTAACAACAATTATATTTCTAGTCTTAAAGGGTTAGAAAAGCAAAAAATACATAAAATCACCCCCAAAGTGATCATCCTCATGGCGTGGAGAGGCGGACAATGGAAGACTCAGTCTCTGCTACTTGTAGTTCTTAGATCCTAACAGCCCATCACAAGCCCGCCACCTGAGGGCTGCATTCTCTCCTCTTCCTCAGCCTGGGCACAGTACTAGAGTTCACAGACAGCAATGCCTCCCAGCCCCAGGCTATGTCTACACTCCCTGCTACTAGGGCAATACAGAAAAGAAACACATTTTTAAAAGCATTTCCTAGTCATTGTTATTTGAAAAGAAAAATGTATCATTTCCTTTGGAGGATGCTGACAGATTCCCAGCTCTGAGAAGCGGCAGACTCTGATTTCCATTCAAGCAGATTAAAAAAAAATAAATACATTTAATGACCAAAGGCGAAGGGGTTCTCAGGGGAGAGGAGCAGCTCTGATTTACTGACTTATACATATTTATTATAGTCCTAGAGACTGGGTACCAATGATCAGTGCCATACACATGACTGATTGTATGTATAAAAACAACCATTCATACATGCACACACACACACATATATATGTATACACACATACACATACACAAAGACAAAGAGATCAAAAGATCGGAAAACACTTTCCTTCAGGACCTCTAAACAATTCTTTAGTAAGCTTCTAGTCTTAAAACAGAGATGTCCCCACACTGAGTTCAAGTTCAAACAAACCTCTTTCAGGAAATGGTCTCATTGAAAGCTCCCAGTGGGAGCACCTGAATATAATACATGATCCTGCATGTTCATCAATCACAGTCTGAATTCTTTCTGTACTGGACTGTGGATGATATTTCATATTTATGTGTCACAGGTATTTAAAAACCCTTTGCTAGTCGCCATTCAGTTGGACAAGAGTTGGATCCAGTACATGGCACCATTACCAGCGCTTGTCAGTTTCAGTAACTGGAACAATATCACATTACCTGCTGGAATGAAAGTTCTAAGGTCTCAACTCCTCAGTCTTTGAAATTCAATCAAATACCACTGAGCTGAGCTGAGCTGAGCTGAGCTGAGGTGAATGAGACTATATAAACTCCATCTGCCATTAAATAAAGGACTCAGGAGGCCAGGGATGCTGCCAGGGCCCTCGCACTACTTGTGTAACCTTGGGCATTTCACTAACTTTCTGTGGGTCTCAGTTTCCTTAAGAAGGGAGACAATAGGAAGAACATGGAACCCTACCTGTAAGACAGTGTGAGGATTAACTCTGGTTTACAAGGGTACATTATCAGTACATATGTATTGAACACTGATAATGGTTACAATAGTTTACAAGTTGCAAACAGTAAAAGTGATACAATCTTATGGAATCCTCATTTTTTTTTTTTTTTTAACAAAGAAATCAAGACAGGAACATACATCTTCCTTATGAATACTGAGGGCCACCTGCCACAGCAATGAGGTTCCTGGGCCACAGATTTGGTACAGGGCAACTAAAAAGGGACTGCTAAAAGTTCAACACCCATGGTCTAGGGCCATCCTGGGCAAATGAGTCAAGATGTGCAGTATGAGGGGACTTCAAAAAGTCTGTAGAAAAATGGAATGAGAAGAGAATGGGATTTTTTTCATGCCTTTTTTGAAGCTACCTTGTAAGTTCAGGTCTAAGATAGGACAACTTAAGGCTAGAATAGAAAAAAGTGCTTGACCAAATCTATCATTTTCACTATTTCAAGTTGCACTGAAGAACAAAACAAAACATGTCACCTTGTAGTTTACGATTGTTGTTGTTGTTAGGGGCCGTAGAGTCAGTTCCAACTCATGGTGACTCTGTATAGGGTTTTCAAGAAGCGGCTGGTGAGTTTGAACTGCCGACCTTGTGATTCAAATGACCTTGTGGTCTAGTGCTCATTTTACAGCACCACACCAGGAATCCAGTTTAAGATCATTAGCAGATAAAGCTATTCTAATTGTAATATTCTAATTTTGTTTACACACACACACACATACATACACATTTTTAAAAGTTCCTTTCTGAGTAGATAAAAGCATGGATACTGCGAGTATTTATGTTCAGTTTCACAGATCAACTGGAGATGAAAGTTCAGAGTGATTTACGAAGGAGCAATGATAAACCGCGCTGCCATTTTGGATGCTCTGAAGGAAAAGGGTCTGCCTAGATAGTCATCCTGAGTGGGTGACATTTCCTTATCTCCTCATCTGACAATACTCATATAGGCTGAAGAACAATGAGTCCCCTGAATTTTAAAGGCAAAAGAAAAAGGGAGAAGATGGAGTGTGAAACAGGGGAAGAAGAAAAAAACACCTCGGGCTTTTAATTGGTTCATAGCCATGAGAACAGTTACAAGCCAGATACCGACCTTTGGAGATTTCCATAATAGGATTTCTCATATGATAGTTCTCTCATAAATCTTTATTATGGAGCCTGCAATGATGTTAATTTAGGTAGGAGTATTATATTATTCTATGCACCACATACTAGCCATTTTTCAAATATTAATAACTTGACTCCTTTAGTTTTTAAAAAAACTCAAAATGACCTGACTTCAGATGATAAATTTCTAGTCCAAAAGTTATTTCAGAAAACAAGCCACTCTTTCCAGAACAAATGGACCTGATTTTACCTGCTGGTTGTTCCTTCTACCTTCCCCCTGCCTTTTCTCTCTTACTCTGTATTTTTTCTAGCAGGGATCAAAGTAACTTCTCCTTGGCTTCCCATTTTCATTTACCCTTCTTAAAAGGGATTTACATTCCTTCCTTATAAGAAAGCTTGAACTGGAGGAATCTCAAGTAAGATTCCAAGATGAATGATTTCCACAAGCCTCTCAGGCTTACCCAAATTTTGAATAAGAACAAGCGTGGAGCTAGACTGATCCCCTATCTTCATGCAAGACTCCCTTTCTAATAGGAGAAGAATCACCTCATATTTGTTTTGACTATGCACAGGAAAACCTACTTACAGAGCTGCCAATTTCGGCAGATTCTGTGATGTCTACGTTTTCTGAATGACAAGAATAAACCCGACCAGAGCCTTAGCCACAGCGACGTTAGAGGGAGCTGCGACGTCAGTATCTAGGCGTAATGGATGCCCCTTTCTGGACGAGATTTCAATCCTTCAAAGGTGCCAATACCAAATCCACACAAAGGAAACGCTTTGTGTGATGAACACACACAGGAAGCAGAGCTCACCCTGGGTATAAGGGGATCCTCGCCAGCTTGCCCCCTCATCAAGCCCATACGCACATCTTGGCCTGAGCTACTTCTCCAGAGGAAGTCAGAGGAACACCAACAGGCACAGCCAGCCAGTTGGTGGGTGCACACCCACACCTAAGTCACCGAGTGTACTGTGGTACAGGAGAAACAGGTCTGAGGGGAAGCTGGGTGCTTCTCCAGGTTAGTAAAGATCAGTGAAGGCAAAAAGAGGAAGGAGAAACATCGATTCCTGTCAGGTGAACACTGAAGCAAGTATCTGCTGGATCCTCAGCCCTTCCCATCTGTAAGGCACAACATCCTGACGCCATCTGGCCAGATCCCCAGTACAGAGGGTGGTGACCCCTTACCCACTGATAA